AACATAAACAAGAGAAATCACTTAAATGCTACATTAGTGACCATAGTGATAAGTACAAGTTAAGGATAGAGGAATAACGAACATTAATCACAGTATTTTGGGCCATGGCTGATCCTCAATGGATGAGAGAGTGGAGTGGTAAGCTATCAGTAACTAATCTTAGGTCGTTTACATTAACAGCACATTCACTTTTACAGCTTAACTTTTAAGTGCACTAAAAGTAAACATTATATAATGTAAAGTTAATAAAATATATTTAAAGTCTGATCATGCTGATGTATGTTAATGTACAACTATGCACCAGGTTTTATGGTAAATGATATTGTGGGTTTTATTATATATTGGAAAGTGGTGAGATGACATAGCAATGATGCAAACTAGACTGAGGGTGCTAAAAAATACTAGCATGCAAAGTACAGAGTGAATAAATGTCTTACAGAGTGTAAAACAGTGTTTGCTTCTGAAATCCAGCAAAGCAGAAGTATAGAGTCAAATAAAGAGGAAATGCGTTGGTAAATTTCCAGTGCAGCACAGAGCACATGGTGCCTTATTTAAAATGGAGGCTACATATCAGAGATGACTAATCAGAGGGTTTCACAATCCTGTCAGAGGCAAAACTGCTGCTTTCAGGTCAGCCAGGAAATGTCATTCAGATATCCACGTGTTTCTAACTGCAGATGACAGTTAAAGTGGACCTGTAGTGTTTTTTATACTTATTTCCAGTCATATAGATCTCTTATAATAACTGTGGATATTCGTAAAAAGCAAAGCAACAGGAAATTCCTTCAGTCTGCTCTGAACACTCGTTTTACAGTTTTTTCTGCTCTTGGATCTTTATGATTTTAATCTGGACTGAAATCTGAACCCAGAGCTGACGTGTCTTAAATCTGACCAGCAGGGGGCGACTCTGCTGTAAAAACATGTCTGATTGTCTATGAGAGTCTATGAGAAAATGGACCTCCGGGTCACCTGATCTCTGATCTCAATAAACACTCTGGAGTATTTTTGGACCATTTTGCACCCATGAGTACACGCCCGACAAAAATTTATTAAATTAAC